TCTCCTGATAAAATAATAAATTAGACTGTCTCTGAGTCCTTTAGATGATAGTTGCCTTATGATAACATTTACTGCTCTTAGAATACGTTGTCTGGAAGCAAAAAACCTTTAATCCTCAAGTGATATGAACTAATCTGTCTACACTGAAGTCAGTACAGATCTGGAGCATAATTTTGTATTAGTGTGATATGAAAGAAACCATCTTTCTTTCAAATATTTGTCTCAAAACATATAGTGATGTCAAATTACTGCCAAAATTAAAGAGATAAGTAAATGATTCATCTAATCCACATAACATTTTTCCTGTTCACATGCAGACAGAAATATTTTCAGATGTGTTATGTATTTGAAAGTTTTTGGTGATGTCTTGTTATTTTTTCCTCTATTATTTGAAAGCATGTAATCATACATTTCTTCATATGTGTTTTCTATTAAATTCTGTCATGTAGACAACTGTTAAGAAAAGTTACAAGTATGGTTTCCATTTTCTAACTATACAACACCAAGTCACAGCCACCATGACTATTTCTACTTCAATATATATTTCACAGTTTGTACGAATACTTGCCCAGGTAACTTTGAAATTTGTTTTCAAGAACAGTGGAGTCACTAAAATTCAGCTGTATAAATATTGGGGATAATCAGTGCAAAAGGGAAAGCACATGTAAAGGTAATCAACTTATAAACCTGAGGAAATAATAGCCAAAATTTCATTTCTAGTCAGTCCTAATTTTGCAGTATCGCTCTTGGTTGCATGCATATTTTGAGGTGTTAAAATGTAATAGCAAGAAAAATTCTATGTTAGTGCATGTAGATTGGAAGTTAACAAGCTCCTGAAAATGTCAGTTTTATGCCAGCAAGTAGTAGGGAAATTTTAAAAGATAATATATTTTTTCCTGAAAATTCAAACTGTTCAAGGCTATAACAATACATCAGAACATAACCTGGAGCCATCACACAGACCACAGTAATATTGTCCAGTTATCAATCAGGCTTGCTGAACTGATCTCTTAAAAAACATTAGCTTTCCCTTGACTTCAGACGACTCCCTGTAATTCTCTCCCTTTCACTCACCAACTACACTCGTGAGCTGTTGCATAAGTATTAATTTTCCAAAAATAAAACATTATTAGGTTCCAAATTTTGTATATTTGCTTAAGCCGAAACATATGCCACTAGGACACAAAGAATAAACTCTACCTGGAAAAGCCCTTTGCTTTTTTAAATTTTAAAGTAATATATATGACAATGCCTTGTCCCAGGTATCATGATTTAGCATACCCTTTTTTCAGCGCTTGGTAAGTCTGATGGATGAAAACAACATTACAGCCTGTGTTAGACTTAACATCCAAAAAATGGTCCAAAATAAGCAAAAACAATGTGTCCAGACTAAGACACTTTTCTCCTCTCTTTCCAGCAAAGAAAAATCATCTAGGTTTCTTAATTAAAAAGTAGACCTTCTATGTCTTGACTGTATCTGTACCAAAAAACCTCTTAGTTGCTACTGCTCTCTCTCCTCATACATAGGCACTCATATAAACCCTTACCAAATTCTGTAAAACTTGTATTTAGGAGGACAGGAACAGAGATTCAGTACTTTAATCTACAGATGGTTAAATTCATCATAAGGGTAACTGATAAATAAAACAGCTAACAGAGTCTCTGTTATACTGAGACATTAAAAGTTTAGCCCAATTTTTTTTTTTTTCAGTAGTGTCTCATCAGAAACTATACCAATATATCTTGTAATTGAGAAAAGAGTTTTATTTCAATGAATAAGTGGGATTCATAGATCTAAAACAATAGATCATAGTTATCTCCACCTACTTATCTTGCTCACATGAATTTCTTAAAGTAATGATCTTTGGTGTTCTAATAAATAACAAAATAAAATTACTTCAAATGTACATTTAGTAAAAACCACTCCATTAAGCATCTAGCTTGTCTATAGTTTACAAACATGTATTTTTATATGTATATAGTCCCTCCCTTGATGTGAGTAGATAAACAAGTCTAGCATTGTTACTGTAGAATAATAGAAAACTACTAAACACAGAAAAGATATTGCAAAATGTATTCACAAAAAAGGCCAAACCATTTTCCAGGATTTCAAAATAATCTCTGACAGTAACTTTCTTTTCTCCAATTTTTTATTAAAAACATACACACACAAAATAATCGATGAAGCAAAGATGCTAAGCCACCAGTCCACTAGATGTGAGCCTTTGGCATTTTCTTTAAACTCATTCAGAATGCTAACTTAGATCAATAAGATTCCACTAATTTGAAAAGGCCATGGGACTCCTTCCACCAAACAAATAGTTTATAGAAAAAAGGCAGGAAACTCAAAACACCATAAAAATTAAGCAACAAATGGTGCTTTTATAAATCCTTTCACCTAACCATAAGGAAAAAACCCCTAAACAAGCCACCAAAACTGTAATAGCTAGAAATGATTAGGAAATAACAGATTATTAGTACCGTGTTGGAAAAGAGTAAGTGCACCACAGTCTTCGAGGCACTACAACAAAGGTATAAAGTAAATGAAAATGTATTAGAAAACATTCTAAATCCAAACTTCAGAATGAAAAACAATGTTTTGTTTTAATTTCTGCAAGGTCATCAAAGAATTAATCTGCTAGAGTAAATTTGGACCATTACAAAATGAAAAGAAGTAGCATGATGTTAGGAACATAGAATTGAATGTTGGATATCAAAGGATGTTCTATTCTTGGTTTTGTCATTGGCTTTCAAAATGTTAAGTATTTTCAAGTACTAACATCTGCTAAAACCAGCAGAAAAATTAATGCAAAATCTGTGTAGTATCTCTGAATATCTCTGCATCAACAAAACACAGGAAAAGTACCCCTTAGGTGCTGCCCAATTCTGCAAACAGTTGCAGCTAACTCAGTGGAAGAGTGGAGGTAACTCAACTTCACTTGAAGTTTCTTCAAATGAAGAAATTTGCTTCATGGCTTTTTTACTCGATTCAGCCCCTTGGTTTCACCACAATCCATAATCTGATTTCTTCTGCACACCTACTGTTCTTCCATTTTTTTCCTACTTGTTTAATTCCACTGTTTATGGACTCAGATCTCACAGATTTCCTAATCTTTATTACGTTTTTTAAAAAATATTGATACAGTTTCACAAACATTCCTGTATACTCTTTAATGTTTTCCATTTCTGGATCTCAGATCTGATTAGCATTTTCACTACTAAAAGTATGACAAACCCAGTAAAATCTGGAATAGAAATGGGGGAATCTGTCCTTGTAGTCTGAGTCTCAAACGTATGTGTGGTTTCTATCAGAAAGCTGAAAGTACGTCTGTTGATTGCCAGTTTATCAGAACAGATGTGCAATTAATGCTTTTTCTGATTTATGATATGTGGCATGTCTTAAATCATGAATGATTCTAAGGATATGTATTTTGTTCTTTCAACCAAGATTGGAGGCATGACAATGTGTAGCATGACAACCTCAAAGGAACCAAAGATAGGAGAAGTAAATCACTGATGCTGCATTCATACTACAGAAGAACCTGACTCCTGGTTTAGTACTGAGGAAAACAGGAAGAGGTAAAACCAAAAGCTTGAGAGCCATACAGCACAACCTGCCAAAATGAAATCTTTAAAGCTCATCCCACAAGGACCACAGGACAGCAAAGCAAGACAGATTTTTTTCTTCTGAATTTGGTCTTGTATTTGTTTTGCTTGTACTCTGTTGTTTCTGAGTCTTTAATTTCAATCTTTTAATCTAAATATTGTTTTAATAGCAAGGTCTCAGTGGTACTTGGAGAGGCAGAGAGGACCCTTGAAACCACCAAGTGTATTGTCTCCGTAGGAATAAATATATTCAATATTATAAAGGCACACAAAAAAATTGCCTGAGCAAACTCCCGAGGAGAATCTACAGCACCTCAGTAGCTGTTAGTGCAGATGGAGCCTGCATTACTGTCCTCCGGTGTTGGGCAATGACCATTGATGGCCTCCTCCCGCAAAATGCAAGCTGCAGGAAAGTGCATCTCGAAGTCTTAAGTAAACCCCAGAATGTGATTTAAACAGAAGTCAAAATACATCCCTAATGAGCTCACGTGTTGGCTACCTGGAACTAGAATCACAAGTCAAAACTGACTGCTTTAAGCATATTCCAGAGACCACAGCTGTCCTCATAATTTGTTTAGGGCTGATTCATCTCCTAGTGAAGCTTTTCTGCCTACATGACTGAGACCTAGATAGAGCTCCAGGAGCACTATATGGTAATTATTTGCATTGTATGTAACACACGTGGCATGAAAGGTTTTATCCTCATTGTATACTTCTGAATTTTGGTTTGCTTTTCATATATGGTAACACTCCCTCATGAACTGATATGAAAACTAAAAAGCATAAAAAAGCAAAAAACATATTCAAGAAACTAGAAACACAATTATTCTTTTTCCATCTCCATAATCAACATTAAAAAAAACTTAATTTGACCAAATTTTTCAGGTCACTTAATCATTTATACTCACATAAACACTAATACTCAGAAAAGAAAATAGGGAGAGATAAAAAGATTTTAAAAGATAAAATAATGAAGTTACTTGGCTTATAGAGAGAATATGGAACACCTTATTTTATTATTTTTATCAGCTCTCAAAATTCTGTGAAAATTATTTTGGAGGCAATATGGTATTTGGCAATTACATGTAAAAGCATTACTACAGATGATACATATAGTAAGTAAATTTAACTATAGTTCTCTTCATGTTATAGGATTTTGCTACATTAAAAATACATGTCATAAACCAGATTTAACACCTTTAGATGACCTCTAATCAGAAATGTGTTATGAGATTCAAATTCCACCTGTCAAATGCTGTAGATACAGGTAAGTAAATATAAATGCCATTAAAGGTGCAAGTTATCTTACTTGGAGTTCTAGCATTTTATTTTTTGACAGCTCCTAATCTGGATATCTTCCAGTGTCAACAAGACCTGTTCAAGCAGAATCTTACCTTGTTTTCACTACATCAAGGGGATGCATCAGGCAAATTTCTACAAGACCTATAAAATAATAATAAAAAAAGTCCTAATGAACATTTGTATAAATAGTAGTTAATTTTCATTTTCAAACTCCAATAGTTTTTGAAATTTGAAAAGTAACGTAAAAATCGAAATGTATCATTGTTGAGATAGTCTTTATATACCTTGTATATTAAACATACACTTCTCCGGTATATTTGAACCATCAAGGATTTTAGACAGTAAACAGTTCTACTTGTTCATTATAGTGGGAAAAGTGAGGACTTAGGCTATGTGATCAATTTAATCATAGTTTTTGCTCAGTTTTCTGACAAGAACAGGAGGAACATTTGACTGGTGTCATATAAAATACGTTAAGTCTTTCTGAAATTAGTGAAGGAAGGGAGTTCAGGCTGGCATTGGCTTCTTCGTCATGTAAGACTAATCCCTAAGGACACTATTATTATACAGGACAGCACTGGAGGCTCAGATGAACTTGATGTTAAGATGACAGCTGATTCCTGAGCTGGCTATCTGTGCTGAAGCCTTACTGGTTCTTCATCCTGTCTTGCTTTATGATAATGCCGATGTGTAGTCCTGGCTTTTCCCCTTCCTCTCCACTGCTCATCATGAGCCCTTAAATTCACATGCTGGGGGCTTTCCATGTCCAAGAATGGAAGGTGTGAATAGCAAGGGGGAAATGCCAAGAAAGAAGAGATCTGGAAAATACTGAATGCACCTGCCACCATCAGCTTCAAAGATGGTTCTGTTACTTTTTACCATCTGACACCACATGAAAAGTCCAGAAGTTTACCATCCACATTTTGTCCATGCTCTGCAGCAGGTGTCGCCCAGGGAGAACTTTCAGAGTTTCTCTATATTGGCTTAAATTTTCTGGGCTTGCCTATTCCTCTGTCCATTCCAAGTATCACCCTCATTCCAAACAGCAAAAACAATAAAAAGATGTATTTATCAGGATTACAGTAAAAGTGTATTTTAGAGACCTATCAATGTGCAGAGATAATAAAAACAACTACATAAATCTTAAAGGATTTTGAAATGCCAAGAAAATACATACCCATATGTACAAGACACTAGATTATCATGTTTTTGAACTTTCTGTGCCCTGGTTTATTAAGCTTCTTAAGCATCCATGGTCTCTTTTTATCCAGAGTAATAAATTTAACACAAAAACAGTTTGTGAAAACTATACTTACAATAATGTTTGAATGCATGTATTTAATGAATGCATCTAAGAATGAATGTATTTAATCTATTTATTATTATAGCAAAAGTAATTACAAAACTTCTGTATTATAGAATGTGTCTTTTGGTGATTCATGGCTAAACTTCTAAAAATCTTGACTCAGGAAAGCATTCTTATTCGAGTTAAAATATCTGCAAATCCCTTCCTTTATGCATACCATACAGTCCTACTGAAAGTAAGCACATGCTTATGTTCCACTAGATGTTCTCCTTGTTCAGATATTGCTGTCTTAAGGTCCAGATCCTGTCCTCTTATTTTAATGGCACAGAATATGGCTGAGCTCAGCTGTCACTAAAGCTAACAGTCTCTAATACCTAAAACAATCTATTACATGCTAGATTATGCAACTACTTTCTCTTTCTAAGCAAGGCAAAGAAATTAACACAAAGTGAAAATTTCATTTTGAAATATTCCACACACAAACTACTGAACTAAAGGAATTTGCACTTTGGCCTTATTCTTTGGCAGACGTGATGGAGAAAGACTCTTGGTGGGTGTCATGCAGGAGCCAGGCTCTGCCTGGGTAGCATACACTGTAGTGTCAGAAACTTGAGTTCTTTTTTTCATTACTGAATATAAATTTAAGGAAGGCTTAAAGTTTCAAATTTCAATTATTTTAGAACTAATAAATTTAGTGTTTCAAGTAGAACAGGAAAAGTGTGGGATTTTTAAAGTTTATATAATATATATATATACATTCCAAAACATTATCTACTTTCTATTTCAAGTTTATCCAAACTTTCTGAATAATATAGGTACTTATATAAGTAAGTCTTCTATGCTGAACCAAAGCATTACCAGAGGAAAGATTCTCACTATAGCCAAAGAAGAGTTAGCCAATAAAAGCAATAGAGCTTTTAGCTCACCCTGTAATAAATGCCTGTGTTTAAAAATTACCATTTATTTTCTGTTTGATATACTTCACATATTGAATACATATATTATTGATAATTGTTATATATTTCTCCTAAGGAAGAACAATCTATTTATATAACAACAGAAGAGTGCAAAAGTTTTGTACACAAACAGTAGTAATTTTTGGAGTTAGTAACAGAAGGAGGGCATAAATGCTAAAATTCTCAACAAAATAAATTTGAACAGGAGTTTACATGGAAGTTTGTGAAGAAATTAAAAAGTTTAAACTGAATTCTTGACATAAAATACTTGTTGAGAGTTCTAGTTTAACATACACAATTTTCTTACTTTCTATTATTCCACTGTAATGTATAAAGCTTGCAAAACATAAAACTGGACATATAACCCCTTACACCTAACTTCTTGCCCCTGTGTTTGAATGACAGTATCAAGTTAATATTTATGAGAATTTTTTTGTCATAGTTTCTTTCCACTCCGTGCAACATTGTTTTGTTCTTCAGTTCTGGATAAAAGGAAGAAAACACCAAAGATATCACCAAAGAACACTAAAATTAGTAGTAACGAGAGTCATTAAAAATCATGCAATTTAATATATTTATTTTTTCTAGAAAGCAAAAGCTGTCATTGCTATTTATTTATTGCTGTAATTATTGCCCAGGAATGTCTTTTATTTTACTAAACTAAGGCCAAATTGCATGTTACATAAGGGAACATAGACTATAAGTTTTCTGTCCTAATTCTATCCCAAAACCTATAAACTACTCCAGCAGCTGCCAACAGGTGCTTTGCAAGTGGAGCTGCAGTCGAGTGTTTCAGTGCTGGCAGGGGGCATAGCCTATGAGTTTTTTCCTTTCCAAGTACCCTCCTTTTCCAGCTTCTCTCCCCCCCCCCGCCCCTTAATTTTTGATCTTCTATTTCATTTTGTTTTGGCAGATAGAGCCTACAGTAGGGGGCCAAGCATGGCGCCAGGGGTTGTTCACCCTATTTTGTTTTTGCAGCATTAATACCCATTTTGGGAGAAAAGTGTACAGTGCCAGAATTTGGCTCTACTTTTTTGGTCCTCATAGGATAATTCTTAATTCAGGCATTTTTCCAGCAACTGAATCAGATGAATTCCAAGACCCTTGGCAAGAGCTCTGTTTTGATAACTTCAGGATTCTATTGGTTATCTGCCTTTCTCAGTCTTTCCTTTGTCTCATCATTTAATAATGCACTAGGTTTTAAATGGTGTATAGTTACTTGATTTCACCAGACAGGACTCGTCAAAAGATGCTGAGATTATGACACAGCTCTCTGAAGAGCACCAAAGGAGTGCACACTGTGCAAGACACTAATGGAACAGCTACAAACACAAGCTACATTTTTCCATCTACTAGAGTAGTCATGCAAATCATTACAACATCCTACTTGATAGCCTGCCCAGAAAGTGTGGTGGCCCTACTAAATTACAAGCACTCTGAGATGTGCTCAATAAAATAAAATATATTGCTCTTTCTTTAGCTAATGTTCATCAGCTTTGTGACAAATTCAATTAGCACTATGAAAATCTAATTTGCTGAACAGCTCTATCAGGGTGCAATATATTTTAACTTGCCACATTGTAAAGACTACTGTTTACAAACTTAATTTTCATGATAAAGTAGTTAACATAGCTACAGACAGATTGCCCAAAAACATATTCTAATTGTCCCATTGGGTCTCCTTGGTGATGTCACATGTGAACTAACCCAGAGTGATTTATGATGGCCTAATTATTTTTAAAACAATTTAGATCCAACTAGCTGAGCAAGAGCCCAAAGGTAATATAGAAAGGAACAATTACTAGATCAGTCTAACATTCATTGTATTCTGGGTGGGAAACATTTCTTGTGAAAACTGGATACTAACCATAAAACAAGACATAATCAAAACTTGTGTGTTGAAGAAATAACCAGCTGTCATCTTTGACATCCTCTGAGTGTACACAAATGGAATATCAACCCCTGAGAAGAGAGTCCGGAATTCTATTATGCAAAACATTCTGCTCAGTAACAGAACCCATGGAGGGAATAAAATGACAGAAAAAACTGATGCCCAAACTGACTCTCCTCAGTAGAGCATTTTCCCTTTTCCAACTAATACCTTCTATTTTCAAATTGTTTCCCATTATGGATTACTTTACATTTCCCTCTACAAGATTCTCATTCAAACTGGCAATCTTCATATACATCTCTTCAATGCAAACATTTTGGTGACTGGTAGGTATTTTGAGTTCCTTTGCTCTTTGCTCCTCTATTCCATCACACACACAAACCTTTTATCAATAATCAGATAACATGGCCTAAGAATACTATGACTGTTTAAAATGTGGTCTCATTATCCATCTGGCAAAAAGTGAAAGTCTGAGACTTCAGCAGCACAGGATTATAGCTCTTCTCTTCTCCCCATGTGTTTCCATACTTCATCTATTCACTGAATAGGGAGAAAAAGAGTGAAATCTAGCTAAAAGTACTTGCTAAACTAAATAGCACAGATAAAAATAGAATCATTATGACTTCAGTCCTCAGGAGACAAATTATTGCCTTCAGCTCTTCTTTGACCCTCAAAGCTATGAACTGAAAAGTGTGAAGTGCTTGTGATACACACTGATTTGTCTTTCAAAGAAACCTGAGTAGCTCACTTTCTACATGTTTTCTGCATAATACACCCTGAACAGAGATTCCAACACAGATTCAAGAGATTTAGATCCATGTGTTAGTTCAGACAACCCCCTACAGTGTAGAAGTCATTATGCACCCTCCTTCCCCTTGTGTTAATCATTTCCCTGCAACAACACAGTTACTGGAGAAACAACAGAAAGGAGACTGGTGATAGAAAATGTGGCAATAAACTCCTTGGGCACTGTATATTGTATAGCTGG